AAAGTTAGGGAAAGAAAAAATGATTTTTACTTTATCTTTCAGATAAAACTTACCTTTTGAATAAGCTAGGCTGAATACGCAGCCATGAAATGGCTTTTATTCCCCCTTTACATTATAGCAACATTTTAGCAAGTTAATCGTATCTGGTGATTTAGAGAACTGATGTGAGATTCAGCAAATACGTATGATTTTATGTGCCTGTGGGTATCCAGTAAAGCTCAGAAAGTGACCATCAAAGTATGTAGTGATATAGTGAACATTTGAACATTTATTGAGCACCTACCATATGCCAACTTGTACTCTAAGCATTTTTACATACACAATCTTATTTATTTTTACAACAAATCTATAGGTATCATCCTCATTTTACAGAATAGGAAACTGAGGCACAGAGGCCAAGTAACTTTCCCAAAGTCACATAAATAATAAACGTAGAAGCTGGGATTGATATCCATGCTGTCTATTCCAGAGTCCAGTTATATGTACTACCTTTGACATTCAGTGATATTGAAAGCCACCTGGTTAGCATTCTAATTAGGAAAGTTTCCTATTGCTTTCAAAAGCACATGACTCTTCTACAAACACTTTAAGATACTTTGTGTTTTCTGCTGGCATGCATTAGAGTGAATTCTAGAGACAGCCTATGTGCTAACATGAAATTCTGTGATAATTTTTAAACTACAAGTGGTTGGATGCTCATGTATGTCTGTTACTGGACCGAAGTTATCAGATACCAGTATCATCAAGATAATTCAGTCTTATGCCAGTGAATGCTTAAAAGCTACGTTCAGAAAATAATTTTTTTAAACCCTTTTTCTATGTGCTAGCCACTAAGCTAGGCTCTTCATATGTATCTCATATTAATTTAGGCTATCCAACCACCCCAAGATTATAAATCCTAGTTAAAAAGTAGCATCACATAAAACAGAATGCACACACAGAGAATTTTATAGCTGCTCGCCAGTTACCAAACAAGTGCCCTGAGGCTGTGCTTATATGTGTCTTCTCCAATATCATTTTAATTGCCTATTGATAAGGAATATACTGCACGATTATGATATATATTGCACTCAAATTATAAAACCACAATAACCTTCCAAATGTGAGTTATATTATCCTTTTTCCCCCAAAGATGTGTATGTTTATGTGATCTGGGTAGTAATAAGAGAGTATCTGTCCTCGTGTCTTACTTAATTCTCCTAAGTGTCCTTGACACTGTCTTGCACCAAGAGACCATGAATTACTTAGTTTTAATTTATTTGTTTGTCTCACTTATGCTTGATTGGAGCAATTGAGAAAAATTACATTCATAAATCTTCTTGCCAAGACAATTAATTATGCACAAAATACTCCAAGCTGCTTCTGATTTTCATTAATGAAGCAGATTATCTACAAAGTAAGACGCTGCTGGAGTTGAAAAGAAAGGTCAGTGGCTCATCTTTAAATGTAAAACAAGTACACAGTTTTATTTCTGAAAAACAATGATAAAGAAATAGTACACTATGTTTATGTTTGTCAGGCTATCACATCCCAGTTAAGATTTTTTTTTTAAGGTATGTGGCTTTCATTTACTTTTTTTTTTCTGTTGTCGCTTTAAGTCTTATTTAAGTTGCCATCATTCTGGTCACTTAATTTCTTTTCCAAAGGAAAATTAACTGACCTATTGAAGTTCAAAAGTGTTAGGCTATAAGCACTTAGAAGCTGAGAAGCGCTAAATGCATCTTTAAATGGCCCTTAGGAGAGAACATGCATCAGATATTCAGACGTCCATATTACTATTCATGAGTAATCTTTGCTCTAATTCACCACTTAATTTTCCTTTTTCTTAAGTGATTAAAATGATTGATAAAGCTAGTATTTTACTAATCCAAAGTTTGACAGCTCCTTTGTTCCCTTAAAATAAGTACAGAACTGACCAAAAAAATCTTGTCTATCATGTGTCAGCAGTGATTAGTGGCCCTTTGCCCTCCACTGAAGCATGCCCTCCACTGTATATTTCTTGGTTCCATAATGTTCTAGGATCATCATGTAGATCATCCATAAACCCTCAAATACTAAAGAGCAGAGTCACACTCAATTTGGAGTCCCTGGTGCTATTCTTCACCATTGCATCAACAAAACTTCAAAATAGAACTTGCAGAAAAACTTAACAACTCAGGTAAGATAATTATGTTTATACTTACCTGAATGTTTTGTATCTCTGGAGGACTGCTGATCTCGTCACACCAGAACAGTGGTTCTCAACTGGGGGTGATTTTTGCCCCCCAAAGGAAATTTACCAATATCTGGAGATATTTTTGGTTGTTACAACTGGGGATTGTACAACTGGCATCTAGTGAGTAAAGACCAGGGATTCTGCTCAACATCCTACAAGCTACAGGTGAATTATGAGTTGAAATTGACTCAACCGCAAGAAGTTTGTTTTTTTAAATGTCAGTAGTGCCAAGGTTGAGACCCTGCATTAAAAGTGTGGGGATACATGCCATTTAAACATGGCTGCACTATTGACAACTGCAGCCCCGACAGGCCTTTATGCTGTACAACATGTTGAGACTTGTGACGACTTGTTTTCCCAAACCAATTGTCCCTTTACTGATTGGCTTGTTTACCTGAATTCCTTCTCCCTTGCCCGCACCCAAAGCCCATTGTTCTGTTATTTGCTTCACTGCTTGCTGTATTGACTATAAATAAACTCCTGGGACTGAAGCCGGGGTCGACTCCTCAGAGTGTCCCTCCTGGCCCCACTTCTCTGTAAGAGTTGTGTTTGGTTACTGTCTTCACCGTCCTGACAACCGTCGCTACTGCGACATAAAAGGAATAGTTGAAAGGCTAATCATTCAAGTTCTCACTCTTCCAGCTTGAAATAAGAACCAGTTTCTTCTGGCTTCATATTTGTTCCTAACTATATGTCTGTTTCTCCATTTTTGCTCAGAGCAATAACATAAAAGCATGTGAAGAGATCCCTTTCCGGTGCATCCAGACCAGGAAACCTCCCTCTACATCATTTCCCTCCTTAAATCCGCATCTACTTAATCTGACTATAGGATTGGGGCAATTTGAAATGTTGCAACAAACATTCCACCTATTTGACTTGGGGATTTTAAAAGAGTGTTGTGTCCACTCTTACCTTCAAACAATTGTAATCAAAGAAATGTGTGGCAAGCATATTGACAACTGATCAGAGCTGTGCCTGCAGTCTGGGTACTGAGCTCTCCCAAGCCTACAAACTCATCAAACACCCTCTACCCTCCCCCTCAAAAAAGCCCTGTGTGAATTCCCCCTTATGAATCAAAGGTAATGCTAGAGATTTTAAAAAAAAGCCTCTAACAACTGAGCATCCAGCCACAGGCCAAGGTAATATTTCTTTATTAGTATCAGACTGCTCTTCAAAGAGCATTATCTCTGTTTTGGGCTGACAGACTTCACTGACATTAGCAGTAATCCAGTAAAATTCAGCACGATCATTCCCCTCCAACTTTCAAAAAAACTGCACTTAACATTTCAGAATTTCAGAGAAATGTGTCTAAAATTAGTGACCCAAAATTAAGTGAGAAAGAGACTCTAACGATAGAACAGTCATTTTCAAAACTGCTCACCAGTGTTCTCCCATTTATAAAATCAATACTATAACCAGAAGAAATAAAAATCTTTGTTTTGCTATTACTAATTTAGGCAAACAACGTAGTATTTTGGACCAGGGATTTTCAACTAAAGACCAAAGGATTTGACCACAACTACTGAGAAACTATCCCAGAGCACAGCTTATCCACATCATGACCAAACCTCATGAGCAGAGGCAGGGACCTCACCAATACCCCCTTGGGTTACCTGGTTTTCTTGCTGATCCCACTGACATATCTGCAGAACCTGCTCCAGTTCCTGCCGCTGTTGCTTCAGGTACTTGTCTAGTTGCCTTCTCCTGTCTTGTAGAAGTTCAAGAAGGCTGTCGATCTTCAGGCAGCTGCTATGAGCTCCCTGAATCAACTCAGGATTCACATTAGGCCCATCACATTTGAATTCTTCTATGAATTCAGTCAGTTGTTGACTTTTGTTTAGAAGGGCTAGAGATCGTTCTAAGAGTTCTAGAAGAAAAAAGAATAATGGTATAAGCAAGCTATTATCTAGTAATATTCACTCTTCATCGACTTTAAAGTATATGTACATTTTATATAAATAATAAATAATACTTAAAGGAATTTAAATGTGTAAACGTAAACTAAGGACACCTGGTGGCACAGTGGTTAAGTGATCGGCTGCTAACCGAAAGGTCGGTGGTTCAACCCACTAGCCACTCCACAGAAGAAAGATGTGGCAGTCTGCTTCCGTAAAGATTTACAGCCTTGAAAACCCTATGGGGCAGTTCTTCTCTGTCCTATAGTGTCGCTAGGAGTTCAATCAACTCAACTGCAATGGGTTTCGTTTTTTGTTTTAAACATAGACTGCATACAACACTTGAGAGAAACAACTGGTCAAATTACCTCAGCCTAACGATTGCTATAAAGTTAACTCCTATCACAGATTCTCATAGCAAAATTCTCCTCTTGGTCACAGCTCTTAGCACAGTTGTAGTTCTATCTATATGTGGGATTATTTAATTCATGTCTGTCTTTACCACTAGGCTCTTATGCAATATGAGGACAGGAACCATCTATCTCCAGCACTTAGCACAGTGGCTGGCACACAGGAGATGCTCTATAATTTTTGTAGAATGCTTGAATAAGATAGAATGTATTAAAAGAAGGAGGAAAATCAAAGGAGTTATAAATTCTGGAGATCAGCAGCTCTCTAAAGATGTAAAAAAGAAAAGTTGGAAAGAAGATTTGGGATTTTGTGGTGGGTAAGTGATGGGAACAGAAGCCAAGTTACTGGGTTGAGGAGTGGGAAGGTAGTTATAAAGTGAACAAGACAGGGCACTCTTTGACACATTTGTTTGTAAAAGCAAAGAAAATTACAAGGTAGTATATCAAGAGAATACTGCTCTTTAGTTTTAGGATGGGAAGAACTGTGAAGAACATCCAGAGAAAAAGTACCTTACTGTCTTAGGCTGGGTTCTCTGGAGAAGCAAAACCAGTAAAGGGTATAAATATATATAGAGAGATTTATATCAAGAAAACGGCTCATATGATTATAGAGGCTGGAAAGTCCCAAGTCCTTAGATCAGGTTAGAGGCTTCTCCTGATTCACGTAGCTGCAGGGACTGGTGAATCCAAGATCAGCAGGTCAGAGAGCAGAGCTCCCACTCATAGGCTGTGAAGATTCACAAATCCCAAGATTGACAGATAAGCTGATAGCTCGAGTCCCAAGAACTGTAGGTCAGACGAACAGGAGGCAGCCGCAGGATCCAGAGCAAGCAAAAAGCCAGAATGTCTGCTTATTATATTCAGATGCAGGCCACACTCCCAAGGAAACTCCCTTTCAACTGATTGGATACTCACAGCAGACTCCATCATGGGAGTGATCACATATAAACACTGAGAATCATGGCCCAGCCAAGTTGACACACAATCTTAACCATCACAGTCCACCCCTTGTCAATTTGGTACATGTGCACATCTCCTTAAACATACATAATCTCTGAATAAAGACAATTATAAAGCCATACTTGCACCTAACATAATACAACTAACAGGCATACAACTGAAAGAAAATGCACCAGTCCCGTTTACATCTTACATTTTATAAGTGAAGAAAACAAAAATATTTGATGCACATATACAAAGCAGAAATACTCATAACAATTACAGTCCTCATTTCTGCAACTGGTCACATGACTGTAACTGGTATTTAGAACCACCTTCTTCCACCACCCATTCCGTATTCCCTTTGCCCTCAGCAAGCACCTCAGCTGGTCATGGTTCTTTGCCTGGTGGGGTGACCCAAACCTTCGTTCCTGAAGGGTCTGGGCCCAAGATCAGCAGGTCGGAGAGCAGGGCTCTTGCTCACAGGCTGTGAAGATTGATAAATCCCAAGATTGGCAGGCAAGACCACAAGGCTTCTCCTGATTCACGTAGCTGCAGGGGCTGGTAAACCCAAGATTGGCAGGTTGGGGAGCATGGCTCCCACTCACAGGCTGTGAAGATCCAAAAATCCCAAGATTGGCAGATAAGCTGATAGCTCAAGTCCCAAGAACTGTAGGTCAGACGAAGAGGAGGCAGCCACAGGATCCAGAGCAAGCAAAAAGCCAGAACATCTGCTTATATTTGGATGCAGGCCACACCCCCAAGGAAACTCCCTTTCAACTGACTGGCTACTCACAGCAGATTCCATCATGGGAGTCATCACATGTAAACACTGAGAATCATGGCCCAGCCAAGCTGACACACAATCTTAACCATCACACTTACCAAGAATAAAATAAACATTGACTGAACTAGTACTGAAAGCCATCTTCTGATTAGTAGTCCAGTGTTACTTCTACTATACTGTGGCACTCTAGCATTCTAACATCTGGCAGTTTATTACACTGCAATGATTATGCTGAGGTAATTGAGCCACTTGTTTCTTTCAACTGGCACCCTTTTTTCAAAAGCTGGAAGAGAGAATGAGACAAGTGAATATACTATAAACAGACATTTTGAGATGGAAAGGAAGGAGTTTGAAGTAGTGTATACTGCATGATCTACATCTGTCCAATGAATTACTACACAGTGTTATCTGCTCAGAGTGAGGAGGGTGTGATCATGTGCACTGGACAATTTGATTGGGAGTCAATTGTACAAAGAAACAACCAATCACAGATTTGTACCAGGACAGAAGGATGAGAGAATTTAAATTAGATAGGAAAAGTCAGGGAGAACATTAACGGAGTAAATCTCTTGACTAAAGAAATGGAAGCAAACATGAATTAGAAGTAAAAAGGGGCAGGAAAAGATCTGTCTAGAACAAATTCTGAGGAAGTGAAAGAAATAACTGAGGAAAAGAGGTAAGGGCAGGTTATAGAGGGCCTTGCATATCAAATGGAAGTGTTTTAATTTGCATAGCCTCAATGTAAGAATTAGTATGACTGATTCTACCTAAAAACAAACAGGTAGTCCCTGGTTATGAACAAGATCCATTCCTAAGCCTTTCTTTAAGCTGAATTTGTAGGTAAGTTGGAACAGGGCATATGATTCTTATTTAGCCTTACTTTGATGCAAGGAAAGGCTCAAAGCCTTTTCAGTGATTTAAAAACTGCAGGTGCAGCAAATGAAGGTAATTGTGACGAAGAATTAGGGGTTGATTTAATCAAAAAAGTGAGGGCAAATTTACATAACATTTAAGTGCAAGTATGAGTTGTCTGTAAGTCAGACATTCATAACCGGGGACTTACTGTACTGATGTTTTATCCTTTGCATTGAAAAGCTTGTTATGATATTGTGTACAGTTACACATATGCACACACACACAGACACACAGGAAGTATAGGCAGATGGCAGGGTTTGCGCGTAGTATTTCTTTTTCTCCTTTCTGTAACTAGCTATTACACACTTGATTTTTGAAACGAAAACGGAAGCACAACTTTAGGTGCTGATGGTATTCAGGCTAACAGTGGATCAGACCAACCTGTCTGGGTCCCATGAGAATATGTATAATTAGCCAAAATTTCCATTTGCAAACTTTTTCTGGTTTTCTGTTTTGGCTTATGCTGAAATAGTATAACCACTACCACAATACCACCAGGCATACAGCCTCCTGAGCCAAAGATAACTTATAAAGATGTGCCCAGGCTGAAATCAATCTGTTACCTGCTATCACAATGGTCTTTAAGGTGGATAAACTGTTCCCCCAGTTCTTTCTGTCAGTTTCTTGCACCTTACTTTTTTACAGTTAACATCTTCCTAGCTATTTATTCCATCAGTTGATCATACAAAGTGATGTATTTTTCCTCAAGATAAACTGTCTAGATATACCATAGCCTTGAAGAAATACAAAATATCTGTAGTTCATTTATTTTAAAAATTGTGTATTTCTGCATATACAAAACCTTACTTATTAACACAATATCTTGTGATGTGAAGCTAGTAGATATTTAATAAATTTCATTGATTTGATTAATTTTCATTATATCTAAAAAAGTAGTAGTAAGATACATTTTATACTAATACCTAAACAATTTGCCATAATTATTAAGTATAAATAAATTCAAATTTGATAAATGAAAGATAGACACAAGTTAGGTGGATTCATAGCTTATTAAACAACCTTTCCAAATGAATATTTTAAAAAGAGAATCAAGGTCATAGTGTTGGTATTGAGATCATGGTTGATACTTCTTCCTAATATATTATTGTATATTCCAAACATTCCTCACTGGGCTGGCTTTTTAAACTTATTTAATGGACACTTTCAAATATACACAAAAGTAGAGAAAATACCATAATGAACCCCTATGAACCTATATGCCACCTATTTTTATAATATATATATAACATCTAGGTCAAAGGAAGGATTGTTCCTGTGAGACAGTTTCTTAGGTATTATGCTCATTTTAAGAAGGTCATTGGAAAACTAGACGGTGCCATTGTGATCCTTCAGAGCTTAGAATCAATGATTTCCTCCTTAATGTCCCTGTAGCACCTTGTTTGTGGCTCACTTTTGCACAGTTCTACCATGTCATACATTAAAATTATAGAAAAATAACACTCAATGAACATACTTTGTGTTGGACATTATTCTAAATCTTGGAGATTCAGAGATGTACTAATTCCTGCCCTTCAGGGTCTCATAATTTGGTGATGGACACAAATAAGGAAATAAATGACTACTGCACAGTGTGTTGGGTGGTTTAACAGAGGTACTCACAGGAAGCACAGGCGGACTCCCCAGCAAGTATGTACATTCCCCGCTAAACTGTAAATTCCTTGAAGACAAGGGCTGTGCACTCCCCTGACACATGGCACTGTGTTTCTCCTCTAACATGAGTTCAGAAAATATTGCTTAATTACATATTGTTGAATGGAGGGCAGTCAGGTTGGTAAATAATCTGCTGGGGAAGACTTTAACTAACTAGGAATGTTTAACCCAAAGGAGAGAAGATGGGAGAGGATATGCTAGTCTTAAACTATTTCAAGCATTGTCATATGGAGGCAGGAACAAATTTTTTCTGTAACATTGCAGAAGGCAGAAATGTCAATCCATTCATCCTGGTTCTGCCCTCTTTGATGTTAGTTCTGTTATATGTAAATTGTATGTAAGTTTCTTACATACAACACAGCCTTAGCATTGCTGAATAAGGAAAAACCATAGGTGAAGCTAATTGAAATCGTGAATATTAGAAATAAGTTTTCTTACAGTTTTTCCAGTTACGTTACTAGCCTTTGTTTATACTAAACTCATGCTCTGTACTACTCACTGGTCAACACCTCAGAAACAAATTAGAACAGCTAGCTGCAAATATAGATATATTTTATTTTCTTAAATTTAAAGATAATATATATATGAAGTTCTCAACTAATAATCAGAATTCCATTCTTGAATATGCATCACAAATTAGGTCATCTTAATCATATCGCAATGAATTCGTTGATTAATAAATCTCATCAACCTTCATTTTATGAAAACACAACCCTTGATGATATCACTCAGCAAATGAATTGGGAGCCAGATATCTTGACCAGAATTCCCTAAACTCCTTGATCTCCGAGTGTCACATAGAAGGGCACAAAAATGTTATGATAAACATGCCATCAGGACTGAAGAATATTTTATCATCACAAAAATAAACTGAGTTCCCTGTCTTCAACTAGCATTTTCATCCATCTCTTCAGACTAAGAAGAGGCCCACTGGGCTTTCAAAGGTTATACCATCCAAAGGCAGGACATTGGTACCCCGTCAGTGGGATGCCAGGGCACTGCAGGCGCAGGCCTCCAAACACAGCCGCATGTGCCCTGTGCACACTGGCTCACTGTGCAGCACATCCTAGTTACTGTGAAGCAGCCAACCAGGGAAAAACAACAACATTAGGACAATTTCCATGCTTCCAGCTCCTTCCCCAAATCTTTATGGAAAACTTCCACTTCCACAATCACCTATCCTTTTTGAAAATGCTTTTGTTTGGTTGTTTCGGTAATGAACCTTCAACAAAAGCATCAGTCATTGTCAGGTTTTCAGAGGTAAAGTTTCTGTGCAATGAGCATGTTGGTCAGGTAGAGACTGAATTGAGACCACAGAACTCATCTCTGTTACCTGGGCTCTATTCACTTTCCAGTCTCCTAGGAGAAATTTCATTTGATTCTGCTCAACCCCCTTTGGATGCAGCTAGATTGTTGCTGCCATATGAAAATGGGCAGGCTGCTTCTTTAATGCTGAAACTTTGGATGCTGTTTATAATCACTGTTAGTGATAGGTCCTATAGAACCATGCCAGTTAAGATTACATACGTGTATTTGGTAAGATTTCATGAAAATTTATACTGGAAAGATTGAGTCCTTTAATCTTTGAATTTTGGAAAAGTTATGATAAGTAACAAATCATAATGATCTATTATCTAGGGTCCTTTCAAGGATGATATAAACACAAAATCTATTTGTGGGCTTTACAAACACCTTTGCCCCTGTCCAGCATGATCGAGCTTGTGAAGCCAGAAGTCCAAATAGAACTCTGACTGATGAATTGAAGAAGCTATTCTACTCATACTCAGTTCCATTTGGCAGTAATAATTAGGAAATGCATTAGGAAGAAAAGAAGTGATCGTTGCTATCTATTTATCTAACCTACTTTCACAGAAAAAGATGGTAATGAACAGCTACTGTCAAAAATGCCTTCTCTGCTGCAGTCCTGGCCACCCCAAATTCTGATGGAAGAGGTCTAGCATTCAGATTGGTGGCTAACAATCAGATCAGCTTTATAGTTTTTTTAGAAGGGAGTTGAAAATCTTTTTAAGTAGTGTTTTATTAGATTTTTTATCTGGAAAAAAGGTTCACTACTGCTTTTTTTTTTTTTTTTTAAAACTACAGTGGTTAAAGAGGGATTTTCTTTATCCAGAGGAATTATTTAAAGACTGACCTTCATTTACTGACTCTTAGAAGGAACATTCACAGTATTCAACTAAGAAATATTATTGAGGATCTGTAATGTGCCAAGCACCATGCTAGATGCTGAGAATAAAAGGATGACCAGGTGGAAATGGCCCCTGCCCTCAGGAATAAAATCTAGCTGATGGAAGAACTGAATCTCTTGGAGACTCCCCCTACCATCCCCTTAGAACCATCTACAACTAGTTCTTCCCTACAGAAGATGACAAAAAAAAAACTTTACTTAATCTTTCTTGGAATAAGTGTAAGTAAATAGATAAATTGAAAACAAGGTCATACAGAGGCATTCTCATGTTAACATTATTTAAAACCTTTAAAAGCTTATGAAGGAAATATACATATTTCTTGCCTTTGGTATGATGTTCGTGGAGCTGAAGAAGTGATTTTAAGGATTCAGCACTCTCAAACTCCTGAGTGTTCTGGAGGAAATCTTCAGCTTGGTCTATTTTAATAGCAAACTACAACAGAAAAACAGGGGGAAACATTTGAAAAAATAAAAATCAATGTGTTATTTTAGGTATTTGTAGATTTTTTTAATGGATTCATGACCTACTATATTGTGTGTGTTTGTGTGAGGGTGTGTGCTTGCATGTAGCCAATTTACAAGGTGCCAAGACAAGAATTTTCTTCTTTTCCTTTTGGATTGCTTTCATACTTGGAAATATGTCATGTATGCTGAAATCAACCATCTTGTTTACTGTTCAAATGTCTATCAAATTTTTTCAACTAAAACCATTGTGTTCTATGTAATGAATACAGTCACTTTCAATATTCTAAAGCAGCTTGTAAAAAAAATAGCAAGGAAGTTTGCTAAGAGAAACCAACAAAAGGCTGGCTAAAGAGTAACACCTATAATAAGTAAATTTAACTTAAGAACTTACTTAAAGGCTGAAATATAGTAATTTTTTCCTCTGTGAAAAATGCAAGTTTCAGAATAATATGTAATCTAATCCTATTTGTTATACAAAACGAAAAAAAAAGTGGTCTGTAGGAAACACAACAGAGGGTTACTTCAGGTTACTTCTATGAGAAGGAATGGGATTAGGGATGGGTGAGGCAAGGTGGACTTTTAGCTCTTGGATCTATAATTTGTACTTTTGTTTGCATTTTTTTAATCAAGAACTTGTTTATGCATTATTTATATAAATAAAAATACGATTAGATACAACAAAAATGAAAAATGGGAAATTTCTCCTCTGTTTCAAGAAAAAAGCGTATAAGACGACACCCTAAATGATAAGGAATGTGATGAATCTCTGTTTCTCCACGGAAGAGAGATGCTTGAAATGCTGTTAAAATCCTCAAGGGCATAATCTTAGAAATAAGCTTTAGAAGAGGGTAAAGCATATTTTGTTATGCTAGGACAGTATATCCATAGTGATAGACAAATAGCTGCGGTTATTTTAGCACTAAGATTCAAGAGTAATTACTATAGTTTTAACAGAGAATTTTGATAAACCTGTTTATCTTTGGATTAGGTTTAAAATATACTAATAAAAGCAAAGTTGAATATTAGAGAGAAAGATACCAAAGCCTATCACAATGCTTGTCTTCTTTTTCAAATTTTCTCTAAACTCTCATCTTTGAATTCAGCCAATTTTTAATATTTTTAAGTAACTGCTTGATTAACAAAATCCACTTTTTTGATTATTAGAATAGCTATAGAATAGCCACAGTTATAAATGGCATGGAATATGAGAGAGCCTGATGAGCATGTCCTTTTTGAAATGTCAGGGAGGCTTCTGCCATTTTGTTACAACAACATGATAGAGACCCACCACTGTCACCTGGGGATTGTTCCTAAATTGCAGTGCAGTGTTTGAGAAGAGAATAACCCATCTGGTGATTAAATCTGTAAGCCTGAAGTCATTCTGTAATAATTATCAATCACGTAATAAGTCATTTTGGATTTCTAATGAACCCCCACATGTATATAGTTCAATAAGGGATCATATCTACATATCATCTTACATCTCTCATTCCGCTTCTAATAACTGCTTTTAAGGATCTTCTCTGAGGAGATCCTTCAAAGAGAAAAAAGACCTCTAGTAGGTGATTTGTTATTTTCCTCTGTAGAACTTTACACAAGTTTTGGAGTCACTGTATAATGTATATCTATATTTCTACTTTTTATTTAAATATTTTAAAAATAAACATACAAGCAAACAATCCTTTATTCAGAGGGAGCTTCCTGAAGTTCTATTAACTTTTATCTTGTGGATTTTTTCTTTTCTCCACCTAAAAATTATGCTTTTCTTCTTTCTGCAGCTTGTACAGGATAGATGTGGCAACAGGGGACACTTCATAGACTTGTTAATTTCACTTTCTTTTTTTAAATCACTAATGAAAATACACAAGGGGCAGGGAAGAATACGTAGGAGTTTCCCTTCAGCTTAGTATGAAGTAGTCCACAAAATTGGAAGCAGGATAATACAAGAAACAGAATTTTCACTAGATCTGATAAAAGTTAAGTGTAAGAATCAGGTTGCTGGATTGTATTAAGATTTAGTTCAGTATTTTACTTTATGTAATTCTGAAAGAAATTTACTCATCATGAAGAAAATCTGCTTACCATTAATGATACTATACAGTGAAAAAAAAATATTGGGCCTAAGGTTAGAAAAAAGATAATTTCCTGTGCTCAAAAGAGCTGAGTTGTAAGGGCAGGTGACACCTATATCCCACTTAGTAAAAGCGAATGAATCAGATGGATCTGTAATTTGGGCCCTGTAGGTGCACATTAGCTGTTTTATTTCTTTTCCAGAAAGAAAACTGTGTACGGAATTTTTTCCAAGATGGTCTGTAAAATAAATTGTAAGTTGGACTTCAGTGTTCAAATTGTGGAAAACAAACCATGAAAGTTACTATAGGTTTTTATTGCCCTTTTTTGCTTTTAAACAAGCTCATGATGCATGAGATTGTCTACTCCAATTTTTATGTTCTACTACTAACCTTCTTTCTTTCATTATTTTGGATTTACATCTCGAATTTCAGTTTGAAAATGCCATCTTTTTCAAAGCTAGTGCTTTATCATAATGAAACAGTGCTCTCAAATCAAAATGAATGTACTGCCACTTGACAGAGAAGTTAAAAGTAAAATTTGCAATAACGTCTTACACCAAACATAACACCTCTGCTGATAATGTTCTTTGAGTTTCACATTTTAAAATTGGAATCCTTAAAAGATCACAGAATTCAAGAAAAATCATAGAAGGAAATGACTTTTTAGGGCCAGGATTTCTCCTTCCTTTGTATTTTAATAAGCTCAAACTATGGAAATACAACTACATGTCTTAGGAAAATACTCTAAAAAATGCTATGTTTACAAGGTCAAAATCATTCTACAGAATATTCTGCAACTGCTTTTTTAAAAGCAGCAGAAGAAATTTTATCCCCCAACTTTAGTCAACAAGAACACTCTGCATTTCCTAACAATCCTACAGTCTGGACTAATTGTTTAATTTAGTGATTACATAACTATCTTCTAACGGGGGGAATCATAATGACTTATGGGTAAAAGTTTCCATTTTTACTTAATCATTTACTTAACTTTAATTAATTATACTTAGTTTTTGTTTGAAGGCCTACATTTACAGCATCAATAATTTTATTTTTTGACAATCAAAAATCGTATGTATTGTGTCTGCATTGGCTATTCTGCCACTTTTTGAGTCTGATTGCAATGTCTATTTGTGGAAAGAAAACATTTTCATGAGTGCTAACATTTGCCATGGTGTTTTCAATCACCTCATATGCATGCAAAAGCTGGATGATGAATAAGGAAGACCGAAGAAGAATTGACGCCTTTGAATTGTGACATTGGCAAAGAATATTGAATATACCATGGACTGCCAAAAGAATGAACAAATCTGTCTTGGAAGAAGTACAGCCAGAATGCTCCTAGAAGCAAGGATAGCAAAACTACATCTCACATACTTTGGACATGTTATCAGAAGGGATCAGTCTCTGGAGAAGGACATCATGCTTGGTAAAGTAGAGTGTCATCAAAGAAGAGGAAGACCCTCAATGAGATGGACTGACTCAGTGGCTGCAACAATGGGCTCAAGCATAACAATGATTGTGAGGATGGCGCAGGACCAGGCAGTGTTTCATTCTGTTGTACATAGGGTCGCTATGAGTCAGAACTGACTTGATGGCACCTAAAAACAACTAACAACATTTGCACTGATGTGGAGAAGAGAGAAGTTCTTTTTGACACAAACCTCCAAGGCATTTTCAAAAAATTCAGAGGTCAACCTGAGGAGTTCCCGTCTTCTTTCAAGCATGGAGACCAGGGCTGCCCACGCTTCAGCCAGGGTGTTGGCCATGGCATCGTAGACCTGACTCTGATCCTTGTTCTCTTCAGCTGCCTTATCTGCTTCCTGCAAGAGTCCCCATACTCGATCTTCCAAAGCCTAAGTCCAGGAGAAAAAAAGGCGTAAGACAGAGTGTAACTCACTGTAAGAACTGAGGATAACATTTTAAACATTTAGATATTTGAAACTGTATATGGTCTGGGAAGGTCCAAGGACAGAGAGTATAGACACTGTGTGGAATGGAATCAAGTAGGCAGGAGTGAGCAGTGGAGATTGTGGCAAACTGGGGAGAATGGCCAGAGTAAAGGTATTCACATTTAAATGTTTTTAAAACATTGCAGAAACTTATAAAACATATATGTCTAGGCCCCCAGTGGTATACAGTATGTAGTGACCTCATATTTCCAAAAAGAAAACAAACTGGAACACATCCAGAATAGAGTGATCAAGAAGAAGAGGAGGAGTTCAGTAAAACTTATTGTTTATTCTAAATAATTGCAATTAATTCATAATATATTTCAAAGTTTAATGTAAATGTCAAGAATAGAGTCTCAAGAAAGAATATTCATAATGTTAAAAATAGAATATCTATAAAGCAGTATTGAGGATTATATGAGCAAAACATGGAAGATGAAAGGGAACATGCGCTTAAATGATTCTCTCATTTGAGGGTAGGAGGAAGAGCCCACGGACTTGATTTTACTTTTGAAGTTGACAGAAAAACATAGGCACAAAGTTTTTAATATAGTAGACTAAAAATATTAGGCATAAATTCTAAAATATCATAAGAAAAAGGAACTAAAAATGTAATAAAGCAAAAGAAAACTTTAGGAACAAGATCACATATATCAGGACACATAAAATATAATGACAGAAATATGATCAAATATAAATTAACACAAAAAATGTGAACGAGTTAATTTTTTTTTCAATTAAAAGGCAAAGTTTATCATATTAATAAAAGGCTGCAAAATTCAACTAATTTTGTGTTTGCTAAAGTCGTTATAAAAAGGCATAAATATTACAAAAAAGAGATGAGATATACCAGCTAAAGCAAAAAATACATAATACTAGGATTGAGTGGCTATAAACACATATATTAAGGTTAAGGTATTAAATTTTGTTTTATTACAAATAATTATTTATATTAATAAATATGAAAACTGAGATAGAATGGAAAATTTCCTAAAAAAATAGTTGCCAAAATTGACCTAAGAAAATCTTATCATCTTCCTCCTCATCATCACTATCACCACCAAGGAAAATATTAAAATTGCTCAAGAACTGATGCCCCCAAAGGTCCCAATCTCGGAGCATTTTTGTTTTGTTTTAAGGAAAGTTCCAGTAATCTTCAAGAAACAGATACATATTATGTTACATAAACTATTCCAGACATAGAAAGGGACCTTTCCAGTTTACTTTAAGAAGGTAGCACGATTCTGATACCAAAACCTATCAAGATAGTAGTACAAAAACAAAATTATAGACCAATCTTATTTGCAAATATATTATTATGAATAAAATATAAGCAGATTACATTCAACAGTATATTAAAAGAAGAGAAGCCCTGATGGTGCAGTAGTTAAGCACTTGGCTGCTAACCAAAAGGTCAGTGGTTCAAATCTACCAGCTGCTCTATGAGAGAAAGATGTGGCAGTCTGCTTCCATAAAGATTTACAGCCTTGGTTAATATACTCACTGCTGTCAAGTCAATTCCAACTCATAGCAACCCTGTAGGACAGAGTAGAACTGCCCCATAGGGTTTCCAAGGCTGTAATCTTTATGGAACAGACTGTCACATCTTTCTCCAGTGGAGCGACTGTTGGGTTCGAATCTCTTACCTTTCGGTTAGCAGCCGAGTGCTTAACTGTTGCACCACCAAGGGTCCTTGTGTAAATTATACTTCAATAAAATTGACTTTAAAAAAAAAAGAATACCACATGACCAAGTAGAGCTTAGTAAAGTAACTTAACACTTTGATATAGGGAACATAAACACTGAAAAGGCCGGGGAAAAAAATCAGCATTCATCTTCGATAAAAATTCATCTTGGAAAAAAGGATATTTTCATGATGAAAAAGAATATCTATCTGATACCAAGAGCAAGCATCTTCCATGGTTGTAAAAATTAGATATAGGCATGAATACAGTTTCATCCCACTTATTATTAAATATTGCTTTGGAATTGTTAGTCCATGTGATGAGTTAAGAAAAAGGGTAAGATGGTTTACCTAACACATCCAAGAAAATCAGCTAAAAATGATATAACTAATTTTAGAGTTAAATAACTAGGCTAATTAAAAAATAACTATGTAAGAATTAGTAAAAATCTGAGGATTTTTCAATAATTTTAACATCAACTTTACTGAAGTATAGTTGACATATAATAAAAAGTACTCACTTTAACTATACTTTTCAATGAATTTGACAAATGTATACACCAAAGTAACCACCACCACAAAAAGAAACAGAATTCCATTATGCCAAAATTTATCTTGTAGCCCTTCCTAGTCAAACCTGCCCACTTCATGTCCCAGTCTACCACTGATCTGCTGTCTATAAAAAAAAAAAAAAAAAAAAACCCTTTCCCGTCGAATAGATTCCAACTCATAGCGACCCTATGGATTAGTCTTTTCTAGAGCTTTACATGTATGGAATCATAAGTATGTGTGATGGTTAATTTTACGTGTCAACTTGGCTAGGCTGTGTTTCCCAGTGGTTTGGCCAAATACAAGTCTAGTTGCTTTTCCATATGTAATGCAATCACTTACCATAAAGTAATCTAATGGAATGCAGTCAAACAATCAGTTGAAAAGAAAGTTCTCTTGGGTGTGTTCTGCCTCCAGACTATAAATAGATATCTTGGCAGAAGTTACTCTCTCTTCACTCTCACTCTTTATGTCACCTGATCTACAGATCTTGGGACACAAGCCTGCAGGAATCTCCAGCATATAGCCTAACCTATGGATTTTCAACTTGCCATCCCCCACAACTGCCAATTTCTTGAAGTAAATCTAACTCTTTATCTATCTATCTATAGCTATCTATCTACCTCTATATCTTTATCTAGATAGATAGACAACATTATATATATACATATATATTTGGTTCTATTTCTCTAGAGAATCCTAAGACATTGTGTAATCTTAGGGTCTAGATTTTTTTCAGCATAGTGGTTTTTGAGATTCATTCATGTGGTTGTGTGTATCCTTCCTATCATATAGCAATATTCCCTTGAATGAGTATACCACAATTTGCTTATCTAGTTAAGTGTTGACATTCATATGTTTCCAATTTTTGACTATTTTGAATAAACCTATGAATATTGATGTGTAATTCTTTGTGTGGACATATGTTTTCATTTCTCTTGGTATGAGACAATTTTACTTATTTATACTTTTCTGTGTGTCCTAAATTTTTCTAATAATGAGAAATATTATTTTTATCATTGAGGAAAATATTATTTTTATTTTGAGAATTATATAAAATAGATTGGTTCTTAAAAGAAAAACTTCTATGTCTTTGTTGTACTAGGACAATGGACCTGAGAGCTCTCCATTTAAAATTCTAGAACAATTCTCTCCTCCCTGCACTTTCAAATTATAACCTATGACACATTGTTTTTGAATTGTTAGATGCCGTCAAATTGGTTCTGACTCATAGCAACCCTATGTACAACAGAATGAAACACTGCCGGGTACTATGCCATCCTCACAATCATTGCTATGTTTGAGAACATTGCTGCAGCCTCTGTGTCAATCCATCTCGTCGAGGGTCTTCCTCTTTTTGCCGACCCTCTACTTTACTAAGCATGATGTCCTTCTCCAGGGACTGGTCCTTCCTGATAACGTGTCCAAAGTGTGTGGATAAAGTTGCGCCTTCCGTACGTCTAAGGAGCATTCTGGCTGTACTTCTTCCAAGACAGATTTGTTTGCTCTTCTGGTCCATGGTATATTCAATATTCTTCTCCAACACTATAATACAAAGGCATCAATTTTTTGGTCTTCCTTCTTCATTATCCAGCTTTTGCATGCATATGAGGCAATTGAAAATATCATAGTTTGGGTCAGGTGCATCTTAGTCCTCAAAGTGACATCTTTGATTTTTTGAACATTTTAAAGAGGTCTTTTGCAGCAGATTTGCCCAATACAATAATATATCATGTGATTTCTTGACTGCTGCTTCCATGGGCATGGATCCTGAATACAAGTAAAATGACGTCCTTGACAACTCAATCATTTCTCCATTTATCAGGATGTTGCATACTGGCCCGCTTCTGAGGGGGTTTGTTTCTTTATGATGAGGTGAATTACATACTGAAGACTGTAGTCTTTGATATTCATCAGTAAGTGCTTCAAGTCCTCTTCACTTTTAGCAAGCAAGGTTGTGTCATCTGCATAATGCAGGTTGTTAATGAGTCTTCCTCCAATCCTGATGCCTCGTTCTTCTTCATATAGTCCAGCTTCTTGGATTATTTGATCAGCATACAGATTGAATAAGTATGGTGAAAGCATACAACCCTGATGCACACCTTTGCTTATTTTAAACCACTCAGTATCCCCTTGTTCTGTTGGAACAACTGCCTCTTGGTCTATGTACAGGTTCCACATGAGCACAACTAAGTGTTCTAGAATTCCCATTCTTCGCAATGTTAGCCATAATATATTATGATCCATACAGTTGAATGCCTTTGCATAGTAAATAAAATATACATAAACATCTTTCTGGGATTCTCTGCTTTCAGCCAAGATCCACCAGACATCAGCAATGATATCCCTTGTTCCAGGTGCTCTTCTGAATCTGGCCTGAATTTCTGACAGTTCCCTGTTGATGTACTGCTGCAACCACTTTTGAGTTATCTTCAGCAAAAACTTACCTGTGTGTGATATTAATGATATTGTTTGATAATTTTTGCTTTCTGTTGGATCACCTTTCTTTGGAATGGGCACAAATATGGATCTCTTCCAGTTGGTTCGCCAGGTAGCTGCCTACCAAATTTCTTAGCATAGATAAGTGAGTGCTTCCAGCATTGCATCTGTTTGTTGAAACATCTCAATTGGTATTCCATCAGTTCCTGGAACCTTGTTATTTGCCAATGTC